AAGATGCTGAATTTGTAATTTATTTTGTATAATGTATAATTAATTTTTATTTCAAGATATGTAAATTAAAATGAATAATTATAATCAAAAATGTCAATTTAGATATTTTGTCAAATATCTAAAAAATAAAAAGTGGACTGATTGTTATGTATTTAAGATTGTTAGAGTTTGTCTGGTGATAGTTGACATTATGAAAACCGTTAAATTGAAAATGAAAGAACTAACAAATAATTAGAAGTTACAATCGTTAACAGTTATATATTTCTCTGTGGTAATAAAAAGTAAATACATACTCTAGCCCACATACACACATATAATATATATATACTCTACATATTCTATACATGGTGGCAATAACTTTCTGTTTATCGGTAGAAGTACTATTTAATATTATTTCAATAAGTTATTTTTAAAATTAGAAAAATAGTTTTATATAATTCCTACTTTCAGATAGCAAAAATGCGGCGTTTCAAACAATTCTGTTTAATAATTCTCTCGTTGGCAACTTTATCAGAAGCAATAACTAACTATAATCCAAAAGGTAACTTAAACGAATATATTGAAGACGCCGTTGAGGGAAGATCAAGACGTAAAAATCAAGGCAATGAAGTCCATTATGACCAACGTCAATCAGGAAAATATAATTTACAAGTTAATTTAAAAGATGTCCAAATTATTGCAGTGAGTGGACAGACTCTGGGTGGTGATTTTGGGGTGAGTGAATTACTTCTGAGGAAACAATAAGCATTCATAGTATTCTAAATTAGAGAAAACAGTAGAAGTATCCTACAAAATTTGGAAAGATTTTGCAAAAGTAAATAGTTTGAAAATTTGTTTTATAATAAAATAGCAACAACAGTTAATTTGAATAAAATAAATATGCATCAATTAATGCCCGTTTTATCTTCAATTGGCCTACTTAACTCCGGTCTCAAAATTTCTGTATATACTTTATGCACTAATTGTTGTACTCGTGCACTAAGAATAATATATTGAATTCTTATCATTCTAATTTAAAACGTATTTTACCCTTCACATAATGAAAATTCTATAGTAATTCACATTACTAGAATCTAATGCCTAAACTTTGGCCTTTTTTAATTCAACACGGGCTTGATATTCATGAGATCTTGAAATTTTCTTTTTATTTGGAGTGAAACTTTTTAACTTCTAAACTAAACAACTATTGTGATTTCTGTAGTGTTGACTTAACATTTAGAAAAATGATGTATCTTTTTTATACCATATGCCATTTTTTCACATATTAGATTTGAATAAAATCAAATTATATAACGGCTAAGGAGTAACAACCCACGTCATGAAAAAGTAAAACTTTTCAAATAAATTAAATAAATATATAAATATTTTTAATAATTTTAATAAAATAAAATAGCTAAAATTATTAAAACAATGCAAAACTATTATTCTGAAAACTGTCTAAAAATTAACAGTTGCCCATTTTCTTCAGCTAGGTGTTGAATTTTAATATTCCATAAACTTTAAAAGAGGAAAAACTTAAACAGAAACTTTGCTTCTTGTTAGATTGATTAGCATATACTGATATGCTCGTATTTTATTTATATAAATATATGAATAGTAATAAAGGTTTATATAAGAGATAAAATTAGTGGTGTATGGCATCGTGCCTTAAGGCAAATTGCTGGAACTTCTTATGTCGTAACAAAATATTCGAAAAATATATTAAATGTTTTCAAGTAAATCATTATAAACACTGTAGCATTGTCTCATATTTATAAGAATTATATGAAATCAGTGAACTTTAGAAATTTAGCCAGAATTAAAAATAAAATCCAAATTGTTTTCGATATTCTAAATTTTTTTTGAACAAAATTAAATTTTGAAATAAAAAAAATCTTCAAAAGCAATTGTTTCATCAACAAATCGTCCCGAAAACGTCGACGAAAAATTGTATCCACACATCCATTTTTTCTCAGGTATGTCAAAATTTTTAGAAACCTTCAGAACGTGAAAATATGAAAAAAAAATATATTTTTGTTGAATATTACAAAAATGTTCTTATGCATACTTTAGTTTTAAGAATAACTAAAACTATATTTCTAGAAACTTGTCTTAAGAATAAGAAAGCAATAATTCTAATATAAGAATGTATGCATATTATTTTCAGGACTATGATTACTCATACGATTATGATCAATTAACAAGCAAACCAATATTGAGTCTTCTGGGCAGCTTGTCGGGCAATAAACCTTCATCAACAACAAATGCACCAAACATCACAGCTGGAAGTACATCAACAACCAGTGAATCTGTGAACACCGTCAGTTTAAATTCTACCAATGATGGTAATTAGAATAAATTGAAAATTAATTTACTTGCAAATAAAAAATAATTGGGTAAATTAGTGATCTCGAATAGAATATATTCACTATCAAAAGAACTTCGCCCAAACGTTAATAAAATAGAGAATACCGGTGTAGCGTCTGAATATATTACATACTTATATGTTAAGACATTGTTTTCTATCGTAAATAAGCCGAGTGAATAATTAATTATTATTCCTGCTGATAAATTGTGAACAAAAATTTGAATAATTCAATATTAAATCTACATAAATAAACTGCTCCGCATATCTAAATACAAATTTGAATAACTCAAATTAATTAGTAAAAAGTGGAAAAAAAATTTTAATATTAAATAAAAAAATGGCTCGACCGATTGTTCAAAAATCTAAATTTATCTGCTTTTAATTTAAAAACTATTTACATAATCACAAGATAAATAAATTAAATATGTAAAACATTTAAATTAATATTTTTTTCGCATATAAATTGCAAATAATGTTTTCGATTTCAATATGACATTAGAATTTTTATTTCCTAAGGTGAGAAGAATTCTACTTCTATCACGGATCCAAATTATCCTCAATACATTCTTCCGGATCAAATTCCAGTAGAAGTTATTATGGACAAATTAAATAAGACTGAAGAACCATTACTAAAGCCAACTACAAGAAAACCAATTACAGATATAGGTAAAAAAATACTTAAAACATTTTATTTTTGATTATGCAATATAATTTTAAACCGCAAATTCTTTTTCTATAAATTCAAATGTTTAATGAGAATAAAAAATATATAACCAAAGATTTTGAAACTTTGCGAAGTCGATGAAAAACATATGGGATTTAATCTAAGTAGATTAATATTAAAAATTTGAGTCGAATTTTTATATCGCTCATTATGCACATTTCTAATAAAATGTAAATGTAATATTAAATCGAACTATTAAATAAGAAAAAGCTGATCGAAAAAAAATAAAAATATTATATTGTTAATTAACTTAAGTATTTAAATCATTTGTTGATTGAATGCATAAGTTAAAGTATTTTAAATATATTTGTTGCTGCAATGAAAGGTTCTCTGAAATTGTATATTCACCAAAACCATTTGAAATTTAAAATTGGTATTTTAATTAAATTTTATTTGACTCTCAAAAAAAAAGCATTTACAAAGTATAATGAAGCTCAATATTTTTCAATTATTGTCAATTACTTATTCTGGTGATTTTAGAAAACAAACCTACCGCCGAGCAAGAATCTATGACAACCACGATAAAAGAGGTAGTAGGTGGACCAGTAATTGCAAATGGAAAGCTTAATTCATCATCAAGAAAGTACTCAGTCGAAATTATGGGCAAAGACGAAACCCTGGCACCATCCAGGCCGATCAGGGGAAAAATAGCTCCTAAAATCAGAAATGTACAGAACAATGGTAATCATAATAGAAGAAGGGTCAGCCCTGGATTGTAAGCATTCAAGATATGCTTATTTAATAATGCTTACATGCCATATACGTAATAAAAACCTTTACCTTTCAGATTAACTCTAAGAAGGTTAGTGAATATCGCCAATATGTTTAAGGATAAAGAAGATAGAGACGATTAAATTGATATTAGCTCATAATTCGATAGGTTTATTTATATTTTAATTCATATATCAATATTCATCAAAACTTGATACATTTTGTACTAATTGAAATAAATCATTTTTATAATAAAATGTTGTTTTTATAATAAAATAATAATCACCGGCATATAATATATAATAAGTAATAACAAAACTATAGATGTGAACAGCTTTTTGATTTAAGACAAGTTGTATGAACTTTCCGATATGTATATGTTGTATAATATAAATAATATTGTATAAAATAATAATGTGCCTTTGTAAGTACTTGCTTATTCAGCTGTACAATCACTTGTTTAATACTCGGTATATGTCCAGAAAATACTGCCCATTATTAATGAAGTTGAACATTTTTTATAGTTTGATTTAAGATGTTCGTAAGGATGATGTTCTCTATCGATATGCAAACATTAACGTACACTTTATTTACAATTTTATCAAATGTTCGATTTTTACTCACTATTACTATATATTGCCATATAATCAATGACATTTTTTATTCAAATTTATGCTTTTATAAATGCTTAATATACCTATATAACAGTAAGTATATAAAATATAAAATTAAATCAATGATTCAGGAAAAAATCAGGTAATTTTCAAACTAATATTTATTAACCCTGTTACACAAACAAATCCCAATTTCATAAAAAACATACAACATAAAAACTTCTAGTAAAACTAAGTCCATGTCATTTTAAATATATAAATTTAGTTTTTGTACATATATTAATAATATATTATTAAGAATTCACATTACTAAAGTAATCTTATTGACTAGACATAATTTTCACAAAATTCAGACCAATAAGTAATAAGATACAATATTACGAACTTACAGTTATCAGCCTCTATAAAATTAGTACCTTTTGACTATAAACATTTGCTATATATCTTTTATCGACATTGTTGAATCTAAATAAATTGTCTTCACATATTCTATTCTTGGAAAGCAAATATTTCACATAAAGATTTTGATTTAAAGCTACTATTTATATTTGTCTCTATTAATTATTCATAAGTAAAGATCGAGAATACTTTCTGTTGTACTAATAAAATAATACTATTTAGTTTTCAACTTTGTTAATTTCAGATCTCGCTATTAGTATTATATTAAGCTCAGCCAAATACTTCTCTATTCAGTTGATAATTCCATTGATATTTCAAATGAATAATGATATCAGTGGCAACACAGAATGTTGGCACAATTTATGATATCGATTCTAATATTGTTGTATACTGTGATACTTTGATGCAACTTTTTTTTATTCAAATTTGAATAAGAATTTCATTTTTAAGTTAAACTGCTAATGAGTAATATTTATGTGAGAACAATTTCTATTATCTTTCTCAAAGTGTGAAGGCTATAACAGTATCATAACTTCTTAAGAAGGCTATAAACATCATACTTCTTAAGAATCAAAATAATTTTGCTCGTTAAATACCTCACAGATATCATTAACTTGTATGAATACCAATGGATCATTTAAGTCTCAGTGAGTCCTATTATTTACATTTTACAAAGTAAAAGTAGTACAGGTATGAAAGCGCCTATGGCTATAACTACTGGAAGTAATACTGATGTTTCATCACTTGCATAAGGGTCTGGTTGTTTTGGACCCGATGTTTTACGTAAAGGTTCACTTACAAATTCCTCAGAATCAAAATCTTCATCATCAGTTTGCTCTGAATCATCAACCTAAAAAGGAGATCATACAGGGAGATATATATTATATAATTATTTAATGAGTAAATGAATGATTGCTTTACTATATACTTACATCTTTCACATCGCCATCTGAATTTACAGGTGGCAATTTATCAACATCATCCAATGTGCCTTTTATTAAATAAAATGCATTAATTTTTGGATTATCTCTGTATCCTTTTATAAATTCTAGTTTCAAACGACCTCCTCTTATATAGGATTCTTCTTCATTATAGTACAATTTTCCTCTCGATACACTGAATGGAATATATTCATCATGAGCAACACCTCGACCAACTTTATCGAATATGTCCAGCTCAGAAACAATAGTGTGAGCATTATTTAGAACGACATCAAAAACCTTCATGTTAGGTGCATTAAAATAAACTTCACAGAATTTTAAAACTAACACATATTCCCCGTCTTGAATAATAGGGATATCGTATCCGAATGTATCATGATGATACCTTTCTGTTTGGTACAGAATTTCGTCATTTTGGGGAACTCGTCCAATCATTAAAAGTTGTTTACCATAATCACTGGCTGTACCAATTTTATTCATAAGAGGATCTTTTTCATAACGTATTCCATTTTTATCTACATGAGTTTCACCACCGGCGTTCACTGCATAAATTATTTCACTATCGCATTTAGCACAAGAATTAAAAAATATATAGGTGAAAAATAATAATATATTCCTTATTACCATTTTGTAAAAATTGTCGACGTAATAATATTTAAAAGCATATGCCAGCTCTATTAAATCTAATGATTCAATCAGACATTTAATATAAGTAAACAATTCATAAGTAACATATCCATGTTGGTAATCTACGATAAAATTGAGTAAATATTAATTCTAATTGATAAAATGTAAATATTTATCACAGTTTGACGCATTGCATTGACATATACAATTTATTTATGGGGTTTTGGCTGCTGAAAATTAAAATATGTGCGCCTTCTCTTAGGGATTTTGGATATTGAGATAGAGGAGATCCGCGCCAATTGATATAATATAATCAACTAACGATGAGAAATTGTCAGTTGATTATATTTATCATTTCTCACTCATTTTATTTATATTATCATGTAAATAATATCCCAGTCATAAATAAGACAGCAATAGTAACCCTTTCCACTCGCTAATTCCAAAATTCACATAAATTTTCATCCAAGCATCCAAGTGGATAAGGTTAACAGGGTTAACATGAAAGCATAATCTAATTACTAGTAACTAACAGTTATAATAAAATTTATTTGCAAATAATAATGTATGTTTCATGATGTATGTTTACAGTTAATTTCATATAAGTATTTAAAAATCAAATAAACAATTCTTTAGTATATAATCGCTTAGGGTAGAGCGAAGCTTAAAGCTCCGCGGGTAAAAAAAGTCCATCATCAAGTTAGGATTTTTGAAACAATCATCTGTAAAAGTAGAGAGCAAACCTTGATTCTTACAATGCTATTTTTGTAGGATAAAAGGCAATGTTTGAAAATTCATAACAAAAGTATTTTCTTTCGTTGTTGTTTTCTTGGAATATGAGTGCTGTTGTTCAGTTTAAGAGAACTGATAATTTTTAAGTACTTATGCGTTATTGAATAGTTTCATAAGAGGTTCTGTTGGGGTATAAAGGACCAACTGAACCTTTACTCTGGCAAAGGCGTAAACAATAAAAAACAGTAAATTAATTAAATTAAATAAATAAATGTTTTTCTCCAACTCTGCCGATGATATTCATGACAAAATACCAGATATATAGGTTATATATAGTCTTATCATTGTAAAAATGTGCCCATGAAATTTATATTTTGCATTGTAAAATCTATATAAAATTTAAAAAAATGAAACATTCGATTTGTTTGCCCTCTGGCTATCCCATTTTACGCCGCCTATGGGGCTAATCTAGATGGCTAATTTTGGGGAAATTATCAAATAAACGAATTTATGTAATTAGGAACTGAAAATTTTACTGAACATAGTTCGATCGCTTGAAAGGTGTTATGTGTTATGATGTAGTATTTGCTTTAGACAGTATAATTACTTAAAGTCAAATTGGATCTTCGTGCCCCGCCCTTCCCTATATCAAACAAAACGAGAAGATATTAAATATCATAACATGGAAATACAAAAAAACGATTCTAGATAATGAATCCATATAGTTTAAAGGATAAAAATTGTAAAATTAACTTAAAGAAAAAATGCATGTAAAATGCAGGGAATGGAAAGCTCAAGTGGCTTAGAAGCAGTTATTTTTATTATTTATTTATATAAGCATGAAGCATGAAAAAACTTTCAATATTATTAAAAAATACAGTCAAATTGATATTAATAGATCAATTGGTGTATATATTAATCGGCATCAAAAACCATTTTTGTGCAAAAAATTTTACAGTCGAATGAGAAGTCAGTAGTTTTACTTTTCTAAAAATGTTGTTACAATTTATTTTGCGACTATCTCTAGGATTTCATCATGTTCTTATTATTCATATTATTTCAACACAATCTCTACAAAACAATATACGTAATAACAGAATATTCCAACATTATTAAAAACTTTCCTACATAGGAACCCATTGATTCAAAACTCTATGAAATAAAAAAGTTAACTGTTTCTAATTCCATGAATAAAATCAGTTTAATTGCATCTTTAAATCAATTGTATGAATTAAAATTGAAGTGATGAGATTTTGCAAGCTGATGAAAACATTAGCAGCATTCAGTAATAGATGGCACTGAAACGAGCTTGACATTGAAGCAAATGTCAAAAGTGAAATAAAAGCACAGGAAATTGACTTATCACATGTGTTTATTATTGTAACGAACATGCACAGTGATTCTAATATATATTGTCATAAAATGTAGAATAAATAAACAATAAATTCTTTGATAAATATAGTATTTAGCTTTAGTATCCACGTGTCACTAATAATTTTACAATGCGCATGAGTCCGAAACTGATAAAAGGATGCGGTATAAACAAAATTCCTTCAGTCACGCGGTAACAATTGTCAGAATAGCACTTTAATCTAATTTATTTGATGTGAATTAATTTGTAATTAATCGCGTATTCTACAAAACACGATGAAAATAAAGGACTTAATGATCATTAAAGGTAAGTTTTTAAACCACATGCATTATTATTGTAATGTAAAATATATTTAATTTATATATTTCGTTTAAATTCCAGAAAGATTTACATTCCCATTAGTTTTATTATGGCTTATCGCATTTCCTGTTCGAGCAATCGGTGAGTACTTTTCTTATTTATTGCATAAATGCGCTCTTTATTCGCATGCATTCAGGCGCATAATATATATATATATATATATATATATATATATATATCTAGTTATATATATATATATATATATAACTAGAAATCCAAAATAAAAATAAAGAACTGTCTTCTGAAAAATATAATTTATTGTCGACGTTTCAGAACTATGTTCGTTTCATCTTCAGGACATCTGTAAAGATCATATTCTTAGAAGTTAAACAACAAATCTTGTTTTCTAAAATAAATGCATAGATTATATGAATAGAAATATTAAAATTGAAATAAATATAATATTAAGACATGTGTAAACCTGCCTGATTATATATAAAAATAAAATAAATAATTTTAATTTATAATTTTTGTATCTGGGTTGAAGGATTATTTGTTTAAATAAATAAAGAAGTGTTAGTTACGATGGCTATGATGCGATATTGCTCTAAAGTTCGAAACGTCGAATATAAAATATACTAGAAACAGTTTGTATATATTATATAGCTGCTACGATTTTTTATTAGTTATTAATATTAACTGTTAATAATATTAACAGTTTCATGCACGAACGCTAATTTATAAACTCTTAGAGCATACGATAGTCATATTTTTACTTACAAAAATAAAACTGAGAATGATAGATTTATAAAGAAATTAAAAAAAAATGAAATTGCCCCTTATAAATCTATATTTCGATTTTTTTACCAAAATTCCTCATTAAATAAGTAAAATTATTCGTAATTATGAACATTCACGTATTCATCATTTTTACCACTTTTTTACTAAATTTGTGAATATGCTGTAAATTTATCATTTTTGAACGTTTGTTTTTATATAAAATTAGTAATGTTGTTATAATTTGAGATATTACTTCATACATCACTTGATTACAAAAACAAAGTAAAGTAACTCATTATACATTAAAAAATGCAGTAATTGTTTTATAATCATTTATATTCTACAAACAACTGCTGCCATCAAGTTTTATTATATTTCTCAAAAAGTACTGAAATATTATATATATTTAATTTAATTATATTATATTATATTAATTATATTTATATATAAACTTTCCAAACATCTAGAACAAACTGCATTTGTTACCTAAATGAATGAACCTAAAATGAACTTTGTAAGTTCTTTTTATAGAAAAGATTGTAAAATCGTACAACATATTAATTTAATCTTTATAATCAACTACAATTAATTACCGCTTGTTAGGGAAACTCAGAATTTGCTTTGGCGAAACATTCCTTTCGTAAATTCATTTTTCAAATATTTCACAATATCTATTTGTATTTGTAAGAAATAATATACCAAAAAACGTGTTCTGTCAATCCTTTTCCATATAATTATCAAGATTTTTAGTAAAAATCGAAATGAAAATACCACCACTAATTATAAAAAAGAGTTTATTATAAAGAGTTTGCAATTTAGAGGAAAGAAAGAAGGACGAGTAAAATTAGCACTACCGAGTTAAATAAAAAATATCAATGTAAAACTCTCTGTAATAGTAGAACTGTTTTGCCGATTTCGTATCTTCTGTTGAAAAATTCTACATTTTGATATAAATTATTACTATTTTCTGACGATTTTTTATGAATTCAATTTTATCTAATAATCTAATTGACTTCAATATATAAATATTCTATTCTATTTTCTATTGCACGATACATAATATATATTTTTCGAAATCGATCTAATAAATCTTTTACTTATAAAACTGGATCCAAAACATTTCTGACAACACACATTGATAAAATATAATATATACTAAATATACTGATAGTTGTTTAAAATTTGCATACTAAGATTTATTTGTTTATTTTACTCCGTAAAATAAACCAAGGCTACCTTGCGCTGCGTTATTCATATAAAATAGTACTAACAAAAGAATCTTATCAAAAGTGCATCTTCCTGATGCGTCATAATAATACATGCGAGAAGTTAGATTTTATGTGTCAAACGTCTGATCTGAAGCAAATAGCTCTTTGACAGTTTTAGGTACCATTTTATATGAAAAACGCAGAATAACACAGCCTTGCCATAACATTGCCGTCTATTATGAGATCAAATTGTATATTATAATATTTATTAAATTAATCATAATTATAATTGTGAATGTAATGTGACATATTACATTACATATTTTATATAATAAGATATGTAATAAAATATGTTAATTGCGAGATTTATCTGTTCGAATGGTTTCTATAGGACAGCGCAAATTAGATATTAAACTGCTTAATTAACCATAATGAGTTATTGCCATGTACAATTATGGTGCATGTAAATAAAAATCACATAATAATTATTATTATCAATATAAGATGTAAAATTACATTTCGACACGGAAGAGAAATATATTTGATGAAAAAGATATATTGTTCATTTTAGAAAACGTAAGACGCGTTTGATGTATATATATATATATATATATATATTTGTGTGTATGTGTATGTGTGTATGTATGTGTCCTACGGAAAACAATTTTCTTCAATACCCTTTATTGACTTTCGTTAATGCCTATTGACAAGCAAAGATGGAGAGAGCGCGTGCTCCTTTCAAGTACAAAAGTAATTTTCTTTTTTCAATAGATCTCATAGTGTTTTACTGAAAAATCACAATGCTCTATTTATAATCAAATAATGAATTTGTAAAGAATTTTATGAGAAAAAAACTGGCAGAGAATAAGTAATTGAAAACGGAATAATCGTGTCGTAGTCATACTATTCTATTGAAGTTTTTCAGGATTATCTTTCCGAACGATATTCATAGAATACTGTGAATCCTAATATTAATAGATTGCTTTATAAAATTGAATAGTTTTAATAAATTCACAGTATTTAGATAGCAAATGCTGCACAAATGTGATTTACATTTGTAATGCCATCAACTAATGGCCTGAAAGTAATTGATTTTTTTTTTATATTCAGTAATACAGAAAAGAGGAATGCATTAGTAATTTGTATTATTCGAGCTCGTTAGAATCTGTTCTCTTTTTCTAAAATATTGTAATTTCAATGCTTTGCTTACTACTCCTATCTTCAAAATAAAAATTTATTGAATGCATTACTATTATACCAAAGACATAATGAAATTTTCAACATTTTCAATAAATTATCCATTTGATCATAATTATCATAATATAAAATTAATTATCTATCATAACATAACATAAAATTAAAAGAAATTTACAAGTTTTTTCTTTGAAGTATGTTACTAATACTAAATTTTATAAAAAACTGTACCAATTTATATTAATACGTGTAACTGGAATCTATGGATTTATTTTGCGTTCATTTTTTTTTTTAATTTAAAAATATAATTAAACCTAAAAAAATTAAAAATAAAATATTTCCTATATATATCATACAAAAATTTGCAATGATCTGAGAAAAGATGGTCGTTAAAAAGGTAAGCTTTTTGTCTAAATATATCATCGATACCAATTCTAATTTTACTTATGTAACTCACAGAAAGAAAGCAGAACATTAATATCTATTGGTAATAATAATATAATTATTAATAATAATTAATTGAATGTGCGGCATATGTTTTCCAGTGTAGTTTTTACCCCTGAACACGAATCTAAAGTTAAATATTGAAAAAATTAAAAAAATGAACAAGATCTCTAGTAATTTTTCTGCGAGATACTTGAAATTTTATGATTTCTGTCATTTCATGACCTTTTTTACCTTTTATCAATTAATTTATATATAATAAATTCTGTTTACAAAACAAATTTTTGACTATCAAGTGATCGTAACTAATTGTTAAATTATTTTTACAATAAAGCTATAATTAAATAATTTTCTAGTCACAATTTTGAATGTCGTTAGAACTCAATAATAAGATATTGGTTATGTCGATTGCTTATATACATCAAAAAGTTTATGTAACTTGCAAAAGTTTAAAACTTAGGCCAAAATTACACAACTTTAACTAGGCATTGAATAAATTATAGCAAAACCATAGTCTTTATAACTCTACCCATTTCATTATATTTAAAGATAAAATCGTCAAGTATTTCTAAAACTTTCAAGATTGATGAATTACATGACCCGGTTCTACTTCGCGCGAAGATTCTTTAGATAAGTTTTCCGTTAGAAATGGAATGCTACGGCGCATTATATTTTTAAATGATTTGCCTCGAGTGTTAAATCTCGTAAAAGCTATCAGCAATTTGACGTTTTGTCTTTAGTGCAAACCCATGTTCAGTTTAAAATTCCTTCAACTGATTAAATATTCAATGCCTTATATAGGTTTATAAAGCATGTTTATTATGAGAAAATTGGACGACGCAGTACTATATTATATTGATAGTTGCAAATTTCTTCTGATTGATACCAATATAATAACAAATATGTGCAAACACATGTAGGTATAATTTCTGTAAAATAAGAGTTTTTACTTCTTTCTGATTGCAATTGGCAAATATAAGGGCACTATTATTATTAAAATTATAAATAAAATATATTTTAAAAAATGTATATGGATAAATTCCAAGCATGTTTTTGAATAAATATGTAGAGCATTTTATTTGGATATTATGAAATCTTGTATCTTGTCTGTGTCTAAATGTGATTAGCGTTTAGCTACAGTATTTTCTACCAATTACGAGTTTCCAAAAAAAAGAACTGTCAAAGAATCGATAAACTCGAAATGTCTCACTTCTATTTAAATTACTACAATTGTACTAATACAGAATATACCAAATCCCTTAATATTCAACTGGCGACAGCACGTGACTTTAATAGTATGTAGTATTTTTCATTATTAACCGTTACTAATTGGTACAAAATAACTATAATAATTCAACAGGTTCACAACCATTTTGCCTTTTCGGTCTTTGCTAGTTTAGGCATTGAGATACCCAAAAGATACTTTACATTATCCAGTGCTTCATCAATATTTCAATAGCCTGCACAACTCAATGTATTTTACAATTTTATATAAGTATGATTATTTTTCAATTG